TCGTTTTGTAACAACGCCGCTTGGCCCTCGAACAAACTAAAATAGAGAACACGAAAGTGAAATAAGATATCGGTTGGTGAATTATTAACAATGAGAAGACAAAAATGAAACGCTTAAAATGTACTTCCAACCACGACGCCAGGTGGAAATTAAGGTAAACTGCTAAGGTTAAACTGCTTCCAAACTTTTGCGCGGCAGTGTAACTTAAGGGCGTACGTCGAATAAAATTACCGCGGACGCGAAATGTGAATAATTTCGAACAATTAAAATCGGGGCCGTAAACGATCCTTGCCCGGCGTCGCCAATAAAAATCCCCCCGGAGTTCTTGATTACTCGCCTCGCAGGGTTCGCGACTCCCCGGCCGGAGCCCTCAACCCCGACGAGATCGAGGAAACCATAAAGCAACGTTTATCGATCTCTCCGCCGTTTGAATTTATGCCCGCTGGTCCCCTTCCACGGAATATCGTCAAATCGCACCGTGAAGTCGTAAAGTTAAATTCCTCTCTGTCTCCCGATGCAATCGTCTCGCGGGCCGCCGCTCTTTTACGCGCGATCCGTTCGCCCCTTTTGCCCGTGCGCGCACACTGCGCCCGCATATCCCGCCGCGGGTCGCGACGCAGTCACCTCACGGATATCCGGTACCGATCCCAACGCGGCGCACGCATCCCCGCATCTCGAATCACCATCTCGAAAGCCCTCTTCTCGCGACGCGGTGTATCGTTCGCCGGGCCACTTCTCACGTGGTCGTGCGCTACAACACCCACTCTCGAGGATCGACTCTAATATACAATTTATTCAATCTATAGCTCACAATTAACAAATCAATATTCAAAGGAATCATCGAGCCCATCTTAGGTCAGATTGAGAATTAAATTGCAAACCTAACCCCAAACCCTAATATCTTTATCTAAGTACCACTCAAACAAATCGATATTTAACACGTTCACTGCCAGTTTAAAATCCTGAAATTGTTTACAAGACCAAAACTTTAAAATTAACATTAAAATTTATTTTCTTTAACATTTCAACTTGAGAATAAATTGTTTTAGTTCCACTGTTAAAAGTTCTGTCACCCATATATGGGTCACGTGGCGGACAAAGTGTTAAAGGAATTATTATCGAGCCCATTTACCGAATATTGAATTGCAACCCCCATTTTGTGATTGTAACATTAAATTTGAGGAAAGATTGAGAATGAAATTGTACCTAAATATATTTTTAAAAACGATTTCTTTTCTACTATAATTATATCTTTTTATGTATTGTATTTTTTAAATTATCAAATCAATATTAAGACACTTGGTTGAAATTTATTTTCACATACGATATGAATTCCTTTTAAGATCCTTTTTCCCTAGAAATTGAATTTTTTTAGATTTCTCATTTTGCCAATTACGAGTATTTTTATTTTATTAAAATTGTGATTCCTAACAACGATTCTTCATTATTTTCGTGTACGAGATGCATTGGATGCAATATTCTTTTGACTTTGGATGGTGGTTGTTGACTGTCAGTCGTTAGTACGTTCGATACGATCGATTTCCCGTTCGAGATATCGTGGACAGCGCTCGACTCGATCGAGAATCGATAGTATGCGCCTATCCTTAGACCTTTAAACGCATAACGACTCGTGGTCGCAAAAAGCCGCGACACCGCGGTGCAAATTGTTCGCCGGTTTTTCTGCACGCCGTTGCGCGCTCGTGATATGGTATTAATTAGTCTCGAACGCTTTCGTGCGCGTCCCGATACACTTCGATCGGATACGCGGGGAACCCCATTGCTTCGATGAGGTTCCCTTCCTGCTCTATCGAGTTATTTCACGAGCAAAAATGGGCAAAATTTGTTTACAATTAGAATAAAATAATATATCAAGTAAAAAGCAACACTTCTGAGAATAAAATAGAATATTTTATTTAGATAATTTAACCCTTTGGACTCTCAATCTCAACTGAATTACTTTACTTAATGTTGATTTTTACCAAATTGCTAAATGGAAATCAACTTTCCTTGAAATCACTTAAAACGTAATGAACCAACGGAGGATTACATAAATTTTCAAATAATTACATTGACATTTATTAAATAGTTATAATAATCCACTTAAGGGTTAAACCAGGAAATAAAATATTTTCTGGCCAAATCGAGCGAAAGGATTGTTGTCGACTCGAATTACAGTTCGATTAGGGAAAGCTCGCTCCCGAGATGGATGGCGTTTTAACGATTTCCCGTGAAATAATTGCGGATACAAATTTTTGCCCGTCACTCGGTCGGAATTTCATTTAAAGGGCGCTCGCGCGATTCACGCTTCGCTGATCGTTACGCCGCTCGAACAACGTTCGAGAGCGATCCCGTGCAAACTCGTTTGCTCATTAAAATCTCATAAAACGCTGATACGTCTATAATCTTGCCGTTGGACTCTTACTCGCGCTCGAGGAAATCCGATGGCCTTAACTTTGATCCTAGGCGAAAGACGACCGCGGCGTTCGTGCCAGGCGAACCGAGACGAAAGAATCTTCGGAACAGTTAGCCGGGACACCGCAATGTAACTTCTCTCTGACCGTGGAAAGCAATATTTGTCCCCGATACCGCAGAATACTTTTCGCTGTTCGTCTCCCTCTCGTAAAACACCCGTCCCTCGATTTTTATCCAGATAAAAACATTCAATGAGAAATGAGAAACAAGCTGGTGTTAAACTTGGTGTTTATACAGGGTGTTTGGCCACCCCTGGGAAAAATTTTAATAGAAGATTCTAGAGGCTTCATTAAAAAATTATTAACAAATTAAATTAAAAAATTTCAAATCATCCTGAAAAAATTATATTTAGTTTCAGGGGTCAATTACAAGCATTTTTGGTCAATACACATACCCCTGAAATTCTGCCCACTTTCGAGAAAAAAATTCGAATAGGTGACTAAATTTTTGACGAAATTAAAGTGTTTCAAATCATTCTGGAAAAATTATTCTCGGCTCATGGGTTGATTACAATCATTTTTGGTGAATAGACATACCCCCGAAATCCTACCCACTTTCGAGAAAAAAATTCCAGAAGGTATTGATATTATTAGACGAAATTAAAAAATTTCAAATCATACTAAAAAAATTATATTTAGTTTCAGGGGTCAATTACAAGCATTTTTGGTCAATACACATACCCCTGAAATTCTGCCCACTTTCGAGAAAAAAATTCGAATAGGTGACTAAATTTTTGACGAAATTAAAGTGTTTCAAATCATTCTGGTAAAATTATTCTCGGCTCAGGGGGTGATTACAATCATTTTTGGTGAATAGACATACCCCTGAAATCCTGCCCACTTTCGAGAAAAAAATTCCAGTAGGTATTGATATTATTAGACGAAATTAAAAATTTCAAATCATACTAAAAAAATTATATTTAGTTGCAGGGGTCAATTACAAGCATTTTTGGTGAATAAACATACCCCTGAAATCCTACCCAGTTTCGAGAAAAAAATTCCAGTAGGTATTGATATTTTTAGACGAAATTAAAAAATTTCAAATCGTACTAAAAAAATTATATTTAGCTGTAGGGGTCAATTACAAGCATTTTTGGTCAATACACATACCTTCGAAATCCTACGCACTTTCGAGAAAAAAATTATTTGCCGAAAATCTAATGCGAGGCCAGAAATGCTTCCCTGAAATTACATATGAATTTTTAAAATGTCATAACTTCTGAACGGATTGGGGGATTTTAATATTTCAACATGCAAACAATGCGTATTTTGGTATAGAATATGTAGACATTCTAACAATATTGAAAAAGTTGTTCCTTGACACCGAAAAGTGAGAAAAACCCCATAAAAATGGTCCAATTTTATAATGGTCCGACTATATAATTATTCGGGAATAAAAGTAGATCTAATAATCACGTAAGACAATACGAAATATAATGAGATATTATTCTACTATACTGTGTTGTTTCAATGTATTTTTACGGCCTGAAAAAATTTTTTTTTTATAAATAATTGCATTTCGTCAGAGCGTGGCAAAAGGTGAGGGTCGATCCCGCGTAATTCCACGGAGGCGCTCGAAATCTTTCGATTTCGCTCGCGCGGCTGAAGTTTAAGTTAGCAACGGGGTGTTCGAATTAGCGTTTCGGACCACGGATAAATATAGAGGGCCACCCAGCGAGCAAACTAATGTACGGTGTGCAGAGCGTGGGGGTAAAGCGGTTTCGTTCGATTCTCTGTCCTCGTTTTGTCACTCCGTTCTGGCTTCCATCTGTCCCTCTTCGCGCGGCCGTATTTTTTCACCTGAAACTGTCCGGTTCTCAAAGCACAAATTACACCGGAGGAGGAACGGACGCGACCCGGCCTAGTTCCGTCCTAATTTCGACGTACGCCGAGCCATTAAGCCGCCCGGATAAATTGTTATCGTTCCTCAGCCTGCTCGCGATCGCAGCTGCTGAAGAGAAACGACGGATAACGTTCGAGAGATCGAGCCGCGGCGATCAAATTTTCTTGAGCGTTTAAGGGGAACGCGGAAAACGTTGAAAGTGGAGAGAATAATGTCCCTGTCATCGCGAACACACAAGCTGTGTCGTACACCTTGCAAGCGTGCACCGCGGTTCGCAGAAAATGCATTCCGTACCAGATGCGCGCTCTGTATTACAAAGAGAACTGACGGTACCATCGCCGAGTTACAAAGTCCCATGGTCATTCATCAAATCCTCTGATTTCTGTACCCGTGGCTGGCGTAATTTCCGCGCAAGAAACAAACTGCTACAATCAATTGCACTTTCGTTCTCAGCTTCGAATAGGCGTAATCAATCTTGGACGGTAATCGGTACCGCTGGTACTAGATTTGATACGAACGAAAGTCTCTTCAGGAAGTTCGACGAAGGGCAACCGTGTTCCAAAAGAATCTTGTTTTTCGCGGGCCACAAGACATTTTTTCCAGCGCGAAAACGATCTATTCTACTGTTTGTGGTTTCTTTGGTATCGATGGAAATTATTCGTGCAATATTACGATGACGCACTTACCTTGAACCCAGAGTTGCTCGACCTTGCTGTGAACCTGAGCGGACTTGAGGGCGACGCAGAACGTAGCCAAAGCGACGATCGCGAGGAAGAGGACCTTGCCTGCGTGCCTCTGCAGGAAGTAGCCCAGCTGACTCAGCTGATCCTGCAGCCTTGCCCTGATCCACACCACAGACCTTTGACCTTCCGCCTTGCCCTGAGAAAGGTGACCCGCAATTTTAGACTATTCCATCAACGGCTCGACGAAAGATTGGTCCAACAAAAAGGGGGTACGGATTCCACGTTTTTACGTTACGCGTCTTTTCCAAGTGTGTCAATTTCCTAAATGTTCATAATTTCTCAGAGATTCTAAGTTTATTTCAATTTTTAATTACTCGCAACTATGATGTAATCTCTGATATTTCCTGGATTCTTAACAAAGACTGGTAAATGAAACATTATCTTATTTAAAATTTGGGCAGGACACCTTTCGTCGGAGGAACTTATAAAACTTCCTTTTTGTTTTTATCCTTATAGTGTTAAATTTACTTCAAATCGTTATTGACGATTACAGTTTGCAAAATCTCACAATCAGTTAATCGATTGGAATAAAATAAAAGGGGGAAGGGGGGTAGAATAACACAAATAAATCAAAATTTTCTAAAAAACTGTACAACTATCGGTGCAGTTTAGTTTCTCGACTGTTTTACAAGCTTCGAAAGGAACAGTTTGCGCATAGAAATCAGGTCTGAAATCGTTCGATCGCCAGTAGTTAAAATCGGTATCTAAAGTAGCGTTGTTGTCGCCGTCGTTAAATCGTTCCGACAACGGTAACAGCCTCGCGATACTCGATCTTCCGATTTGCTCCAACAGGTTTACGAGCCGCCCCGTCGATTCCAGGCCGATACCGCCTACGATTTTCGAGAAAAGAAACAGATTCCGCCCGGTTAAAGGGCGGCGGGCCGGAACGGCAGCCGGAGCGCTTTAAATTGGCCGCGTGGGCTTCGACGATGATAAGTAGCTGGCCGCGGGTCCTACGTACGGGCTCTGCCCCCCTATCGGAGTAAAAAAAAATAGTAAACAGCGGGGGGGAAAGTGTGAACCGACGACGAGTGTCGTGAAAATCGAAGGGAAACTAGGGGGTGGTCGTCGGGGTCGTTTCGTCCCGATGGCGCGTAAACGCGAACGAAGACGGAAGGCGGCCGCGGAAGAGCGAGAAACGGGGCGAATAAAACGAAAATAAAACGGTTCGAAAAAGGAGGAGAGGCGAGAGAGAGAGAGACAGGACAGAGGATAGAAGGGAGAGGAACGTTCGCAACATTGCGAGCGGCAACGCTGCACACTACCTGGTGGCCGGTCTGACAATGTGCACCGTGGACCACCCGCAACAATACCTATCTTTCCTGGCCGACAGGGAAAGAAAGACGAAGAGGGAAGGTCGTGGAGAGGCACGGATCAGAACGGAATCGAGACACGGGAGAAAAGGAACGGACGCTTTTCTCCTCCCGGGGTCCGGGGGCTCCACGGAGAGTACAGTTAGAGCTCGACAGAAGCCAAGAGGTGGACCCGGGTAACGCCGCGCGATAGACAGTACAGATGAAAATACAGATTACACGCGCTTACGTATCTCAGAGCAGTAGCCGGGGCGTCGAGTATCGGATAGCAAGGTTTTCCAGCCAATTAACTCTGGTGCCGCGGCCTCGCGGCCGGCCAGACTCGGTAACTCTAGACGTGCAGACAATCCTCGTCGGCCACATGGTCCCCGGGGAACTCTGCCTCCGACTACCTCCCCTAAACACCACTATGAGACGTGTGGTTCGCCGTTTTCGACTGAATTCACCGACTCGAATTTTTCTCTTGGCAAAACATCCCCTGTAAACGCGAGCCCTCTTGTTCTAGTAAGCTTCTTCAACCCTTGTATCGATAGCCAAAATCTAGTTGGTGAATGGCTGAGACATCAGGGTACCCTCAGCATACAGTTTGAATAAATAGGGAAAAATGTTTGAAATGAAGTCAAATGGTTTTGAGAGGGGCTCATTCTGATGATACTGGTTTTTTTTGTAAATGGACGTGGAGAAGACATATGAAGGTCATCAACGATTTTTTAGATGGAATATATTTTTTACTGTATCAATTGATGCTCCTTGATATTCTTTGCAAGAAAGTATTAATCTATTTATGTTAAAAAGTCATTACTTTATACAGGATGTTCAGTTAACCCTGGGAAAAATTTTAATGGGAGATTCTGGAGGCCAAAATAAGACGAAAATCAAGGATACTAATTTGTTGATTAAGGCTTCGTTAAAAAGTTATGGAAACATTTCCGGCCACACAGTATATTTTCGGTAAAGAATTTTTTTCTCGACAATACGTAGGATTTCGGGGGTATCTGTATTCACCAAAATTGATTGTAATTTACCCTCTCAACCGAAAATAATTATCCCAGAACGATTTGAAATTTTTTAATTTTGTCGAAAAAGTCCACCTTCTTGAATTTTTTTCTCGACAGTGAGTAGGATTTCAGGGGTACGTCTATTCACCAAAAATGATTGAAATTGACCCCCACATCTTAAAATAATTTTTTTAGAACGATTTGAAATTTTTTAATTTTGTCGAAAAATTTGTCCACCTTCCTGAATTTTTTTCTCGAAACTGAGCAGGATTTCAGGGGTACGTCTATTCACCAAAAATGATTGTAATCAACCCTCCCAACTAAAAATAATTTTTTTAGAACGATTTGAAATTTTTTAATTTTGTCGAAAAATTTTTCCCAGGGATGGTCGAACACCCTGTATGTACATTTTGCACCCCTGTCTTGGACTTGTTTGAAATTTTCTCTTAGGAAAACATCCCTATAAACGCGAGTCTTGTGCTCTACTAAGTTTCTTCTTCAACCCTTATATCGACAACGAATATGTGGTTGATGAGTAACCAAGACACCAAGGGTCCAGTTCGAATAAATCAGCGACATTTTGCACCCCCGTTCGAGACAATGCTCCTAGAAACTTATTACTCGAGAGAATACGAGTCGACGGTCGGATACGAATCTTAACGAAGATCAAAGGGCGACTTGATATTTCACGACGATGTTATCTGCGTTCGAGGGGCACGGTGCTTTCATGGAAAGGAACAAGACATATCGCGAGGACGAATTCCGTCGAGTCAGGCTTCTCCCCTCGGCTCTCTCGGGTTCTCGCGCGAAGGCAATCGAGAGGCGAGCCCGTTATAATAACTCAATCCAGCGGTTGCGGGAGCCCCCGTGACATAACTCCGATCCCGTTTAAGATCTAGTCGCGGCACGAGACCGATTAAACAATTATCCGTGCCGGGGAGTATGAAGAAAAGGGATCGAGGAGAGCGGAGGATCTCCGGATCGTAGTGGGGGAGGGGCTGAAGAAACGGAAGAGATCCGCGACTCGTCCTACGATTTCGATGCTCCGTACGACGGGGTCATCGCGGGGGAGAGGGGGTACGCTTAACGAATTTATGTTATTCGTACTTTTAATGTTTTTTACGGCGCGACACGAGCTTCGCGAAGAGATAGCAGACAGCATAACAGGATCTTATGTCAACGACGGTGGTCCCCGCGCCACGAGGTTGTAATATGTAGATATTGCCCACCACGAGAAACCCCATAAGGTCCGCGGGGACCACTTACGGGAAAAAGGGGGAATTCCTCCTTCTCTTCTTGGGCCCGCTCCACCACGTATGCCCAGCTATATAGACGTCTCGAGACCGACTCGTGGCGTCTCCGCTTCCTTTTTCTCTTGTCCTTTTTACTCTCTCCCGGTCGTCCTTCCCTCGCCTTTCCTTTCGGTTTCTTCGCTGATCTCGAACCTTTTTCGTTCGCGAAAATTCGACCAGTTTCCAGTACGTTCGATCGAACAGTTCTTCTCGAACACGATTAAAGATACTGTTGTTCGGTTTAAATCCGTTTCCGCCTGATAAATAAATCATTCAATTCTATCGTCGCAGCGTGTCGAAAGAAGCTTAATGGATTCTGTTTCGCCTGCAATTAAGCAGATCGTCGACCCATGTAAAAAGTTGAAGTGCTAATCTCGACTAAATCGCGAATAGAAGCGATTTATTCCAGTTGCTATTTCTGGGATCGATCAATGTAGCTTGTCATTCAGTAGCAATGCATTCTTAAAGAACCACTAGGGGTTCGTACAAATATAATTCCATTTTGTGTTTAATAATTTTATTTCAATTTTGTAACGCTTCTTGAATCATAGATCAAATGATCTTGAATCATTACACCTTAATTTTTTTAGTACAATTGTATTTGTTTTTTCATAAATCAATGAATTTTTATATCCTCTTTAAAAAAGTATTAGAGACCTTAGGTCAAAAATTGAATAGTTTAGGAGTTATTAACACATTAACGACGGGGGAATTTTTATTAAAACTTTCCTATACGATGATTCCTATAATGATATAGAATTCGAGAATAATGATATAGATAAGTATTTTTATACTTAACATATTTTATTGAAATTTTCAGGAGTTATATGTGGGCAATAAAATTTGTTTCTTGTGTTGTCGTAGAAATGACTAGAAAAACACACGCTTGTAAAGCGAGATATACTCGCCACACTGTGCCAGGAAAAACTTGTTCAGAACCTTATTCTCCACAACATATTTCAAAGCCATCGAAATTGTAGTCGAGGTACCCCAAAGTAAATAACTAAGATTTCAAAGAGTCGGAGAACGTTGGAAACGATCCTGAAACTAGATTCTAACGAGAGGAGATATGTTTCGTTCGCGGGATCGTCCAATTTGGAAACACCCTGTACGTCCGTGGCGTTCGCGTGAATTCTAAGGCACGTGTCTCGCTCGTGGAACACAAAAGCAACGCGCGCGAACGTGGGTCCGCACGCCACGGCGAAATTGAATGCTCGCGCGTACCCCGTGTGGGATTCCCGTGGGTGGACGAAGCCCGATGCCTATCTCCCGGTTCTCGTCTAGATGCTGCGCGCGTCAGAAAATCCCCGCGGTGCGTTCGAAATCGCCGTGGCCGCGACGAAGAGGACGGCGGTTCGGGTCGAAAGGGATTACACCACCGAAGAGGGGTGGCAGGAGGAGATGGTTTCTGTACGCGCGCGGATACGACATGCGACTCGCCAGATAAACGAATAGGTTCTTGCGGTAGGTACGGGCTCGAAAGTGTCCGCAAGAAACTCGATCCGACTGGCGCTCTAATCGACCGAAGAATTC